TGCATGCTTTCAGTTAAGTTTTGTCAACTTTTACTCTTTACCAGTCATTTCCCTGCGGTTGACTAAATCATCTTTAGCTAGTAACGTCTGGAGAAGGCGAGAAGGAATTAAGTTAGATTTACGCCTTTCTGTTAAAGTATATTTTTAATGTTTTAATACCCTTTTTTGTGTTCATCTTTCCTTATGTTAGTGACCTGGTTAATGGATATATCTATTTTTATACTTCGTTTGTCTCTTTTTAAAAGGTATAAAAGTATGCCTCGAAGGCAGCAAATGGCTTGCTTTGAGATAGTGCATTTTAAATTAACGGAAACTGGTTCCTTTATTGTAAGAATTGTCTTTCGTATAAAGATAAGTGGGGTTGAATTTAAAGTGCAAAGGGGCGTTGCCGTTAGAAACATGTGCTGTTTGCAAAATGTTGAATTCGACTATGCTATGTATGGTTCAATTCAATGACTTGTCGATTGGCTTTTTTGTACACATTTTTGGTTGGAGAGCTTTGTTCTTTGTTCTTCTTTTTTGATTCTTCTTTTCATGTTTTTTCATTCGTTTCTTCGTTCTGTACTGAGTTCTGAGTCTAGGGATTCAAAAGAAGTAGCTTATACTAATGTTAAGAATTACTGGTTTAGTAAGCATTTATTGAAAATGAAATGCAAACATGCAGAACAAAATAACAGCTAAAATAGCAAGAAAACTATGTAAAAACTCTGAGCAAAGCAAACAAAACAAGAGTACAAACATGATAAGAGTAAACAAATACTACTGCGTTCAAAAAAACTCCAAAAGATTTAAGAACTAGTGACTTAGGAACATTTATTTAAAATATTAATAATTAAAAAAGTCCAAAACAAACAAACAAACAAACCAAGAAAAAAATAAATACAAAAAATCAGGAAAAAAAAATAAAAACAACATAAGGAAAAAAATCAACAACAATGCAAAATAAAGCAAAACCAGATCTCCGGTCAAAAAAAATCTATTCTCTTCAATTTACATATGCAATTAAACGGAAGGCAATTCTAAAAATAAAAAAAAATTGAATAGACTCAAGATATTATGCAGTCATTATTTTATGAATTATTGATTGTCATTCACTCATTATCTGGTAAATTTACGGGACCTAGGCTACGCTAATTATATTCATCCTAAATTATGATAATTTATTTCTCATTCTATTAGCGCCGCCATTTTGCCAAACAATACAACAGTCGCATTGTTCTTCGGTTCTTTTTTGAGTACAGTCACATGTCATGCTAAGTAGTGAATCTATAGTGACTGCTTATGCAAAGTTCTGCGATTGATTGAATTCAACTTYTGTGTTTGACAATTTTAGAACTCCCGCCCTGRTGCTYACAGTAAGCAATTGTAATGTTTTAGTATGCCTTTGACAAAAGGCATATATCCCCTTAATTGCAAGTAATCTACTGTGTTTCAAAACTTTCGCAAAACGTTAAGGAGCTTTGTTCACAACCAAACAATTGCAAGAAAAAAAAAGATTGTTTTGACTATATTTGCTATATGACCGATCTTATCAGTCAACTATCTATTCAAAGGAGCATACTTCTGTTATAACTATAATATTGATGGCCCTTTGGAGGCGAACTTTAATTGTCCAATGAGAGACGTTAGCAGCATGCTTGGACATTGATCCGAAGTTAATAATCCACGTGGATCCTGCGTGATGTGCACGTGGCGACGAGACGGCAAATCGCTGAAATAATTTGAGCATGCGTGTCTCATTACGCTGACCGCATATATCTTATTACAAAAAAACCGTTGTCCAATTAATAGAACTTAAGCAATTTAGAAATCGATTAAAGTGCGAAAATAAAACCGTTCAGTATTTCAAATGGTCTTTGTTTCAATATACCCTGTTTTCCTAAATCTCAGGACAGGTATATTTAAAAGTCCCTTTGACTGAGGGCAGGTTTGGATGTTTAGACATTACTAGTGGCAGCATTTTAGCAGGTAAAAGGGTCGATATTCCATCGTTATTTAGATATGCTTTTGCAACATCATTTTAGCATCGCCAGATGATGAATTTCCCTTGAACTAAGGGACAACCCCCACCCCCTCCCCCTAATATGAATAAAGCCTACTGGTCTGTGTATAAAACAGAGAGAGAAACAAATCTATTGCTAGTTCGAAAGGAACTATGGGGCGTAATGAATACTTATAAGGCCGAAAGGATTCATGGGACATTACATAATTGGAGCAACAAACGTGGAGGTTTGCCTGACATATTTGTTAGTGCGTCACGAGTTGTTTGATGTGAAAAAATAGGTAATTTTCATCAATATACATTGTTAAAATAGCTTTGTATATCATAGATGCAGTTTTTTTATGAGGGAAGAGGTGGGAACTAGAATTTAAAAAATGATTCTTTTAATTATGGCTAAACGCAGACCTGAACAAGATTTATTAAAATAATCTTCTTGTATTTGGGTCTGGCCAAGTTATTTATATGATAATATTGTTCTTATTTTTTGGATCACCCATGGTCATTTTCGGTCTTAGATTTCGCTCGCTAAATAATTGAACATTGTGCTTATCAGCCGAGGGTTCAGAATGGGTAGTTTTTAGGGCTTTTAGATGGAAGGTACTTAAATTCTTTTTCAGAATGAGTCCCATTCAGATTTTTAAAATTTCTTTTATTCATTTATGTTATAATTTCGATTTCTAAATTTTCGGACTCGAAAAGGTACTAGTAGCCATCCATCATCCTCATCCCATTCCTGTTGATCCGCCCTTTTTTTGTTTAAATCTATTCAAACATACTCTGCATAATTTGTATACAGTACGTTTAATAACAAATTTTAAATGCTTTGCCAAATCTGCTACCCAGCATATTGATGATAATTATGTTATTTAATTTTGACTGTATATATTACATTGTCGCTCTGAGATACAGTTAGTGTTCTCGTGTTGTGCTTACACGTTAGAGATCATATCACATTAATCCAGATAGAACACTTTGATCTCTTCACTACTCGAAGATAAGATTTGTACCACTGTGCGCGCCCATGWAACATCCTTTATATCTCACATTGCATTTCTACATTACAACTAAGCAATGGTTGAAGCACATTAGCACTTGATTCCTACAGAAAATCATATGTATTATATTCCTAGTGATTTCATTAACTTGAAGGTTTTCCAAACCWCCTATTCTAGCACGTGGGTGATCTGCTTGCCAAATCAGCTAAGACAATTGGCTCATTTTTTTAAAGAGTGACTTAATCAAAAGGACCATTGGGCATTGAAGAAAACGTGTGCTAACTGAGAATTGAGGTCCCGGCGATGTTGCCTGGGTGTTGGCATCAATAATTTGTGATCAGTCTAGACAGATCAGCTACTTAACATTAGACAATAAACGCAAATAAAGCTTATCAATAAACAATTTAATCCGAACAAAAAATACTTTTAAAACAGGCTGTATTGAACGTTTAATTTTAATGCGCTGTTGTATGGTGAAACGTTTTTGTGATGCTTGCTTTTAAGGTGACGGATCGAAAGCTGTATATAGAATAAACATAGTGTTTGACTGGTTTGACTTGTCCAATTTCATAGGTTAGTTCGAGTTCTCTACAAGGTTTTACGACAAAATAACCCGTCACAAATCTATTCTTTTATTACTTTATTTCCAGCCTTGTCTCATTGTAATTTTCTTTTTCTTTTTCTTCTCTTCGTTTATCATTACCAATGTTTTTTAGTTAATCTCATTACATTTTTGCGAGAGCTTTAACTCTTGATACACGACTTATACCGAATCCAAGTGACTTCTAATTACTTCAATATGAATGTAATAGAAAGGTACCGCTAGAGACTGATAAGCTTAACCATTGTCTGTACACAATTCAAAGCCTACTAAAACGGTCTTCTTTATAAATAATACGGTTTTTGTATGAAAAACAAAACTTAATGCGAAAAGGCTTATAAGCCAAGTTAATTTGATAAGCATCCTTGCGTTGAAGTCTCGATCAAAAATCGCTAAAAATAGCGAACAAAACATGACCTGCTATAAATAACATAGTCTCATAGTGGAAAACATGTTGCTTRATATGAAAAAGGSTAAYTTCATTAGCATCCTCGAGCTACAACCACGTGATCAATTATCCGTTGAACGAGCAATGTATATCGCCGCATGGAACAACAATGCGAAGTAAACTTCTTCCAGTCTCTTCATCCAAATAACATGGCGACAATATTTTAGAAGTAAATGGACTGGAAAATCAGCATCAGACTTAAGACCCGATGAGTCCAGAGGTTTTTCTTTTCGGAATTTATTATTTTACGTCTGCACGTTGCGTAGTACGTATCCAATACGACCACATGTATCCGTTACGCGCCATATAACTGAAGCGATAAGTCCAGAAAGAGCATGCGCATTACAGTTTGGACGAACCACCACTCATTTCTAGTCTTATACGTGGATTTCACTAGCGCATAAGCATAGGCATAAGCACGAAGCACGAGAGTCATATTCGCCAGTGCGAGAACGGGCTCAAAATAAGCATAAGTCTTGATCTTCTTTTGCTTATCTCATGCTTATGTTCAGTGAGAACGGGACTGCATAGGCATAAGCATAGCCTGGTACCGAAATAATACGCTCGTGCGCATGCTCAATGTCTTATGCTTATGTCGAGCTCGTTCTCACTGGCGCATATGATTCTCATGCTTGTGCTTATTCTATGCTTATGTGCTAGTGAAATCCACGCTTTAGGATTCATGTGTCGCATAGCCTTCGCTACTTGTGCTCTGCAGTTTCTTCAGTCTTAGAAAATAATCTTCAAATGCTATRCTGCAACAACTGATCCTAGTTGTTTTTTTTTTAAGAAGACTTATTTGAATTGTTTTGATTATATTTTCCAATAAACTCAGCGAATTAAAGTTTTGCTTTCTATTGTTTCTAGTCATTGTGATGTGTCTGTCTGTCTTTAATCAGAAATAAAAAAAAAAGAAACAAATTTTAAAGCGACTAGACTTTATGAAAATYATCATGAAATACAACTCATTTTTTAATGAATATTTATATTCAATAACATTTGTTTCTAATGAAAATAAATTTTGGTAGAATTAMCAAACCTCTATTACTAATATACTGTCGCCATCTTGAATTCTATCGCTGTCAGTATCCCGGATGCAATAAGAAACTATGGGATATCCTGAGTCACTTAACAAGAAATTTATAGACTCTAAGCCTGTGAGAATGCAAGGAAATTCACTAAAATATATCAGTATAATGTGAAAAAAATTCGGCTACCGATTATTCATTGGATGTCAGCTCTACAATAATTCAAATTTTGAAACACCAGAGAATGTAATTTTCGAAATTCAAGATGGCGGCCATACTTGCAATAAGGTCTATTAGGGCACGTGATTAGAGCCAATTCACTAATAAATTCTTCCTATTGAGTGATTGCTTTTGATCTCTATTTTCAGGGATTACTCGGTTGATCTGCAGGAGATGGTAAGCAACGTACACCCCTGATTAGCTGAATTCCGGACTATAATACTTTGCCCAAGAGCGACTATACTCCTCTCTTATACACCGTCCTACACATGAAAAATCCAAACAACGACACATATGCGGTGTGCTAGTATCAAGGTTTGAAACATGTAATGGAGTGTGACTGGAGACCATCTAAGTTTAGTATGCGGAGGCTGCCCTTTGAGAGCTTGTTTTAGTACTTCGTACACACTGCCCTCGTCGGTGACCGTGACATATCGCGTCATTTATGAAGGTCATTAATAAAGGCAGTAAGTATGGTATGTAACTATTTTTTCAATGTCTGCGGTACTTAATTGCACGTTCTGAAAATATTCGTATCCGGACCGTTTTTCTTGGAAATGTACATTTATGCTGGACTGATTGAACATGTCATGTCTCCTTCTGTCCTTGGCTAATTCCAGTATAAGAACACTACGTATATTCTATAACGTTTCTAGACAAGACGACGGACGACATTAAAAGCGTCAGGGTTTTCTATTGGCTCGAAAGTGGCTGTTGTATTATCCACGTGATTAACTCAATCACATGACTCTGTGACGTATATACATATATACTACTTCTCCAAGACAGGAAAGCGACCGTGTTCAATCCTGAGTTCAAACCCTTCTTTGCAAGCCAAGTATTTTTACTCTGTTCGATGGAYATTACTCTCGTGTGATCTATRACGTATAATCACGTGATACGGACGGCGTAGTACCACCACCGTTCATCAACGAAGCCYCACAGATTCTACGTGATCAGTGACATATCACGTGTTACTACGACGGTAGGCTAGCTCGTCTTGACAGTCTACCAGATTGGTGAAACAACTGTTTGACTGAGTTCAAAAAACCATTGTTTTGACCTGGCGAAGTCTGCGATTTCTTCGACTTTCCATTCGACGCTTTAGTAAATCGAGCTTGAAATACCATGTTATAAAACACCACATGTACATTGCGGTTTGTTAACGCTGACGTTTCGTAATGAGAGCAACCGTATTCTGACGCTACTTCTCTCGCCTCATTCTTAGACACGCTTCGACCGCGGCGAGAATCTCGTTTGTTGCCGACAAGGACGATGGGTACTTGACAAACATCGCTTGTATGTCGTACTTGTTTAATTAGTTTRATTAACTGACGAGCGACCTCAAAGCTATAATAGTCAGTTATGGAATACACGACAATAAAGCCATCCCCTTGCTTGATGTACGACGCTTGGCCCTTCAAGAAAAGTAAAGATTTGTCAGTGATGCTGAAACTGATACGGGTGAATCCAAGGGGGTTGCCTGGGCGGGATCAAATGGCTTGGAATTAACGTTCAAATCAAAGGAAATGATCAGCTTAGCCTCGGAAGATCCGGGAAATGAGGACATTTTGATGATAAGGTGTTTTTTTTTTTATTGTTTTTTTTTTTCGTTTCAAGAATGATGATGGTGATGATAATAAATAACTGTCAGTCAACTCACGTTCCCAGCTGTGTCCATGATGGCAAGTGATACAGAGGTTTTTTTGTTTGTTTGTTTTTTTTTTTTTTTTTTTTTTTTTTTTTTTTTTTTTTTTGTTTCAATAATGATGATGGTGATGATAATAAATAACTGTCAGTCAACTCACGTTCCCAGCTGTGTCCATGATGGCAAGTGATACAGTGTTCTCACCGATATCCAGTTCTTTCTCGTATGTCATTTCTGAAACAAGAAACAATAATATTTAACCGTCCCTTTATAATGTTCACAACGCGCATGCCTACAGTGTACATATCTTGTATATAAATTTTATGAAGGCAAGTTTTTAAATATTTCTATTTTAATTTGAAGTAGATTAAGGCGGCAAATTTTGACAAAAATCCAGGCTTTACTTGTTTATCTATTCTACTTCGAGGTATAGATATCCATCTGTTTTTTCCTGACAAGTTTATCCTACTAATCCCCCATCCTTGATGCTTAAAACTAGAAAAAGATAACTCTTCTTAAATCCCTATTCTTAAACCAAAGAGGTTAAGTTATATGAAAATATGKCGATCAAGTAGTTGAACCCGTTGACAAAATCCTTAGACCATTCCAGTGAATAGTTAACTTTAGATATTTTGGTTCGATGCTGGGTGATTTGAGAAAATGCGACTAGCCAATCAGCGCAAAGCTGACAAGCTTATGTTGTAAACATAACCCCCSGACRGGAGGAATTTGYACAACAAAACTCGACCCAGTGGAGTAGGCTGCCTGCCATTTTATTCTATCCGAAAAATCAAAGCTAAAACGCAAAGACAAATTGAAAATCTTTATAAAATAGCTTTTATTAAATGTCAATCAAACATTTATCGTTATAGAAATAGAATTTTATCTTAAAAATGAAACAGCAAATAATTTTTTCTTTAATACCAAGGGACTCCCCTCCCTGCTAAAAATAATTAGTCTGTGTTCTACGCGGGTTCTCCATTGCATGCGAAGCAATGGCCGACTTCACGAAGACTTCAGAACTGGTCGTTGAAGCGACGTTCAAGTCCAAAGTATCTTATGGAGGAACCATTGCAAATCCTTTTTCTTAGCTCTTGTTTCCTCTAAGCTTTGAGGTATCTACAACATCACTGAAAGAGCTAGAGCAGCTTAGCTCCATGTATTCCAATAGAGTTAAAGCGTTTGTTATGTTTCATACAAACAACTGTCGTAGTTAATGTCGCATTTTTGGCAATAACCCGCAAGCAAGCTCGACACTTTCTTTTGTGCATGGTCACTGAACCAAAATATCTAAAGTCGGCTATTTCCTCATTTTAAGCATGCGACACCAACAGACAATTTAACGCCACCCCCCCCCCCCCCCCCCCCCCCCCCTCTAAATACAATGTTGTCATAGAGCATGTTACCGCACAACCATTCAAAACAAGACCCAACATTTATGGAGGGGGCTAAGGGGGAAAACTGTAAAAAATAAAGGAAAAAAAATGTTAGGCTTGAGACAAATAATTCTATGGTCCATGGTTTTTTGGCAACAATTGTACGTCATATCTACGATTTTTAAAAATAGGCGGGGATACATAAATGATTTGGTATCATATACTGGTCTGTTTTACGGGCGAAAATAAATGAATTKCCATCTCTGAGAGTGCTCAGCTCAAGTTTAAGAAATGAGTACCTTCTTCTATTTTTGAAAATGCCAAAAATAGTCTCTAAAGGAAATCACTTTTCGAATAGTAACAGATGATAGGAAGTTGAATTTAGGTCATGAATGAAGATATTTATTTTATCGTCTAGAGATAAAAATAGCCACACCTTTTTTGAGATGTACGGGTTTGGTATGTCTTAGAGGTATTTTTGAAAATCTCTGACGATCATACCGGGATGCCAATCGAGTAAACTGAAATGGAACAGGGTGAGTTCTYCCCAATCCCCTTAGGATCACTACACATGCTAAAACACAGTCAATCCATGAAAGGTAATAAGCGTTATATCTGAAATAAAATGAAGGAACTGATAAATCCTTGTGTTTGAGATCCCCCCCCCCCCCCCCCCCACGAAACTACTAGTGCGAAGAGCAGACGACAGGGGATGGCTTTGACCGACGCACARAACGTTATAACCAAAAAAGTTCACCTTTAAAGCAATAGGAACACGTTGCATACGTGTTCATACGAAGTCGTCAGTTCGCAGGCATCGATGTGGCTAGTTGTATACAAACGAATATAGGGCTATCTACTGGATAAATCCTTATCCACAGCATAAAATCCATGATAAATCTATGAAGTGGATAACTTTATCAAACCTCCTTAGAACCGACCCATGGTCAGATCTTAGGTCGTTCCTTAAGGAGATTACAAAGTTCTGTCAGTATTCAAAGTTGTAGAATAGTATTCCATAGCGTGCCTGACATCAAACGACATGACTTGTTCCTCTTCACATCAAGGATCGTACGTGGCGTCTTATCTTTTCCCTTGTGGAACAGCTTGTTGGTTCAAATAAAAAAKCTTCAGGAGGATCGACGTTTTGATAATAGTCTTACGCAAAGTGAGCCAGATGTATRCAAAACGTAACCCTAACGTTATACGCGTTTAAACGTAAGCCAAGTCAGGTGACAGCATTAGCCGATTCACAGTGCACGTTAGACATAAATCTACCTCATGTTGGGCGATAACGCAAACGTTTTTATATCGCATGCAGGTCAAATGCAATGAGCTACTTACACAGCGCATACGCGCAACCTAAAAACCTTACGTAGTGCCGCAAGCTRAAACGTGATGCGCAAACTGAAAACTTTACGTAGTGTTCCAACAAGCTCAAACTCTCASTGCCACAAAGTCAAATCCTTACGTAGAGCGCTAGACTAGCAGACTTATACCGGAGCGACAGACTGAATCCCTTACGCGGAAGACACGTTTCAAGAAAAAGGTTTCCTTGAGTCAAATGAATGTCCTTACGTAAGGCGCCATTTGAAGCCATTATTTAGCGAGGCACTAGAATACTTTATATTACGTATAAGAACAGAGCGCAATTCAAATCCCCATAGAGCGGCTCAAAAGTGGATCCCTGCGTAACACAGAAGACTTGGACAAGGACGTCGAATGCTAACTATTATGCAGTGAATGAAAGAAGATCTAACACCACTCAGTAATATTTGAACACCGCAAGTCAAACGTTAACCCTTATGTTGCACGTAGAGGTCTTTGCAATATACGTTAGACACATAACTAATTCAGAGATTATACTATTTTTCTTGCTTTGTCCATGCGTACATACATAATARGGTAATTTTTCGTACATATCAAAGAATACCAGCAAAAGTAAATCATGAATTAATTTMAGGATATTTTGGCATTATGACGCATGATTAATAAAAGGAACAACTAAAATCTTWCAAAAAAAGAGTTCAAAACATAGAAGTTTAACATGTGAGGGGAAGGACGTCCAAAAGTTGTTATTTGTCATTCCACCGATGAACCATAGTAGACATAGGTGCACAGCACTTTGATAATTTTAATTCTTAAATAAAGTTCCCTCTAATAAAAAACTGGCAATTTCTTACTAATGTTATGTTCACAAACGCAAAAGAATTTTCAATGCRAAAACTCGGCCGCCATCTTGAATTTACTAAATAACTTCGTGTCATAAATTATTACTATGAAAACAACAACAATCCWTGTCTAACTTGACCTCTTGTTCTTCCATTGTTTTGCTCAATTCTATCTTACATCCTGTGGATTTACCGACACACGTCTGACTACAAGATATCGGTAAACCGCAAACCAGACGTGCATAGCATGAAGTAGGTTYGTCCACAATAAAATGGCAATTAAAGAACTTTGCGGTAAGCTTGCGGTTTGGGTATTATTTGCCAAAATCCACTCAAATTCTCTCTGTACTTGTCTGTTTACAAGTTTTGCGCTTTATTGAAGTTTGAAAATACTTTTTTACGCYGAAAATGTGATACCTCTACTAGGTATACTAGGATAACGTCCTTTCGAGAACACCGACAGAACTTGATATWTT